AGGCTAGCAGAGATTCCTTGAGGAATTGGAGGGGATGGACGGGGGCAGGCTAGCAGAGATTCCTTGAGGAATTGGAGGGGATGGAGGGGGCAGGCTAGCAGAGATTCTTTGAGGAATTGGAGGGGATGGAGGGGACAGGCTAGCAGAGATTCTTTGAGGAATTGGAGCCAAATACCCCGATTCAGACTACGGACCGCCCGCTGATTCTAACGGTGACTATGGAGATTACGAAGAGTCTACGACCGCTCAGGATTCTGATTCTGATTTGATCACCACGACGAAAGCTGCAAATTCTGGAGATGGACAAAGAAATGGTCCGTTTTTTGACGGGTCAAAAATCAAGAGTTTAGAAACCTCGCCGGAAACGTCACCCACCACCACGACTGCCAATTCGGATTCCGCATCTACCACCACGACATCAACGAGTACGACCACGACAAATACCACGACAACGACGAGTGGGCAAACCGAAAATGCGGTTACGGATTCTGATGGAAATACAGTAACCGAGGGACCGAATGAAGCGTCTACTGATGATGCATCGGAGACAGGTAAAATTACGTTTTTGAGGGGGTATCTAGCAGCGTTTCTTTGGGAAACAAAAAATCTTAGTCGGTAAGCTTCATTCTGAGGCAAGCTAGCAGAGGCCATTTTGGGGAAAAACGGGCAAATAACGGCCTAAAGCCAGCTAGCAGAGATTCTTTGAGACCAAACGTCTCATGGCAAGCTAGCAGTGATTCTTTCGGAGCCAAAATTATGGTACAAGCACGTGCGAAAGCGAGCTAGTATGTGGTCTTGAGGGTCTCCTTTTTGATCATTTACCCCGGTAGCCTAGCAGTGATTCTTTGGGAAGCGCTAGTCAAGATAATAGGGCAGGCTAGCAAGGATTTTTGGAGTAAAGCTCTATGGCCAGCAGATATCATTAGGGAGGTGCGAGTCGCAGGGCTGGCTAGCAGAGATTCTTCGGGAGGTCAAGTTGAAGCAATCAGCCAGGGCGAGCTAGCAGAGATTCTTTGGGAAGTTTGGATGCAACACTCGGGGCGGGCAAGCTAGCAGAGATTCGTTTGGAAGTGTAGGCAAAACCATGGCTCAGGGCAAGCTAGCAGAAATTCTTTTGGAAGTTTGGGTAAACCCCGGGTCAGCGTAGCCTAGCAGAGATTCTTTGGGAAGTCAATATGAAACAAAGGCAGGCTAGCAGAGATTTTTGGAGAAAACGTGTATCCCAGCTTCCAGATGGGTCGACTACAAGCTCTAATTCTGACAACTACAATGGTGACTACAATTATGGGGACTACAGCGGCGACTATGACTATGGTTCGAGCACCACTGAACCGGGTTGCAAAAATTTTACTAACGTTTAACTCGAACCCCCTACTTTTCTAGAAACCACCGACGAGGGTGTCACTACCGATGATGAGCAAGGTATGAATTTTCTTAGAAACCCCACGGGAATCGGTAAGCGGAGAAATCGACCCCTTCATCGACTAGGTCTAGACAACCACGCGGCCAATCAAATGACGCCGGGCAGTGACAGTCATCTGGAAAACGTCATTTGCAGCGTCGCGTGGATGTCTAGGCCTAGTCGACGGAAAGGGCCGACAAGGCGCTTCCGGATCCTTTTAACTGGAAGATTTAGACGCGACAACGGAATCGCCGCCAGGTACAAAGTCTCCAAGAAGTGCGGAAGGTCATTTTAGACAGATTCCACTCTCAATCCGATTCGCTTCCCCCTGCTCTCACTCTCGCTCTCTCTCTCTCTCGCTCTCTCTCCCTCTGACTCTCTCTCTCTCTTTCTCTCTTTCCGCTTCTCTCCTCTCTGTCTCCCGCTCTCTCTTGCGCGACACGCAAAGCTGCCGTAACTCGCCAAAGTTATGGATTCTAGCTACGACCGATGAGGAGACGATCCCGGTGTCTGAAGCTGAAGTTTCAGAATCGATTACTAATGACGGGGCTACTGACGAAGGTACAGACTCCAAAAATTCAGATTAGAAAATGCCGACATGCAAAATATCGACAAGTTAAAATCCCGCAACTCAAAAAGGCGTCGTTTGAAATGTTGACACCAGAAAGTCATTGTCGGAATTCTAGGGAAAGACACCGAAAAATAAAGATCATCTAGATCATGAGGTTAATTAGAATTCATTCAGAGGTTTTAGAAACGACTACCGCAGATCCAGACGCGACTTCGGTAGAGACCACACGTGGAAATGGAACACTGACGTCTTCCACGAGTACCACAACAACAACGACTACTACTTCCACGACCACCAACACCGTATCCACCGCCACTACGACCACAACAAATGACGAGATAAAAATCCCAATTTCTGGTGATGGCGAGGGGACGACGGAGAATCCGGAAGGTCCGCTCAGAACGATTAAGTTGTGACTGCTGTTTAGAAACAACCCAAAATTTGAGCGGGAATAGTTCTTCTACCACTTCCATCACAATCACCACTACGACTGCCACCTCGGACGGAAGTACAGCCACAGGTAAGGTTTAAAACAGATACAAACATTATAAATTAAAGCCCACCAAAAATGCATTTGAAAAGCCTATTACCACAAAATTTCCCTCGTCGAAGGTTCCGACATTCAAATTGCGGCCGGCATTCTGGCTTTCGACATTCTTAGTTTTCGGCATTTCCATCGTTTCCTAAGCCGCCAATATAGCCATGTCTCAAACGGCAGCGTCACAACTCATACTGAATATTCAGGTTCCAGCGCGACGACTAACGTAATCCCGTTGAATGTCACTGTAAATGGCAACCAGACGACGACTACGACAAGTACCACCACTACGACGACCACAAACCCTTCCGCCGCTTCCGGCTCTTCCTCCACCACGACAACCACGACCTCAATTCCGAGAATTCCGCTGAACAGCACGAGCCCTACTAATGACGGCACGGAAGGGACTACGGTAGCGGTTAGCGACACTTCGGAGGGGCCTACAGACGATGGCGACACGCTGGGGACGTCCACTTCCGAACCAGTTACGACAGGTAATTTTTGACCCCGTTTATAACCGATTACGACAGATGATTCACGAGGTACCAGCACGACTTCGGCTAGTGTTTCCGGAGGAGTGAGTGGCACGACGACGACAGCTACAGGGTCAAATTCTGGAGGTGAAAATACCACAACGACGGCGTCTTCGAGCAGTTCAGCTGTCACAACACATCATGGCATCGAAATTTCGGGTATGGATTTGGCTTCACCGGGCCTGAAAACCGCAAAGAATCTCTGCTAGCCTGCCCCTCCATCCCCTCCAATTCCTCAAAGAATCTCTGCTAGCCTGCCCCCTCCATCCCCTCCAATTCCTCAAAGAATCTCTGCTAGCCTGCCCCCTCCATCCCCTCCAATTCCTCAAAGAATCTCTGCTAGCCTGCCCCCTCCATCCCCTCCAATTCCTCAAAGAATCTCTGCTAGCCTGCCCCCTACATCCCCTCCAATTCCTCAAAGAATCTCTGTTAGCCTGCCCCCTCCATCCCCTCCAATTCCTCAAAGAATCTCTGCTAGCCTGCCCCCTCGATCCCCTCCAATTCCTCAAAGAATCTCTGCTAGCCTGCCCCCTCCATCCCCTCCAATTCCTCAAAGAAGCTCTGCTAGCCTGCCCCCTCCATCCCCTCCAATTCCTCAAAGAATCTCTGCTAGCCTGCCCCCTCCATCCCTCCAATTCCTCAAAGAATCTCTGCTAGCCTGCCCCTCCATCCCCTCCAATTCCTCAAAGAATCTCTGCTAGCCTGCCCCCTACATCCCCTCCAATTCCTCAAAGAATCTCTGTTAGCCTGCCCCCTCCATCCCCTCCAATTCCTCAAAGAATCTCTGCTAGCCTGCCCCCTCGATCCCCTCCAATTCCTCAAAGAATGTCTGCTAGCCTGCCCCCTCCATCCCCTCAATTCCTCAAAGAAGCTCTGCTAGCCTGCCCCTCCATCCCCTCCAATTCCTCAAAGAATCTCTGCTAGCCTGCCCCTCCATCCCCTCCAATTCCTCAAAGAATCTCTGCTAGAAGACCCATACACTAACGAAAAACTTTTGCAGGAACAACTACCCCAGCCGGAAGTTCCGGAAGCTCGAATTCCACGTCAACTCCAACAATACCAACTACAGCACCCGCATCAGCCGGAAATTCTACAGTCACTTCCACTGCTTCTCCCATTAATGCGTCGACTACAAGCCCCAATACTGGCGGAGTCGTGATTGTTAATGGTAGCTCAACTTCAACGCAGAAATCAATCGCCGGCTCCTCGACTACGAAGCCCTCCTCTGGACAATCTGATGGAGTACAGACTACAACAGTGGACTACGACTACGGTAGAGCTACAGACTACGCTACTCCAGATCCAAACAATGAGGATTATTATTACTATTTTTCGGATGATTATGATTATTCCGATACGACGGAGAGTTCTGTAGGTAAGGAAAGGAGAGGCTAACAGAGATTCTTTGAGGAATTGGAGGGGATGGAAGGGGCAGGCTAGCAGAGATTCTTTGAGGAATTGGAGGGGATGGAGGGGCAGGCTAGCAGAGATTTTTTGAGGAATTGGAGGGGATGGAAGGGGCAGGCTAGCAGAGATTCTTTGAGGAATTGGAGGGGATGTAGGGGCAGGCTAGCAGAGATTTTTTGAGGAATTGGAGGGGGTTGGGGAGCAACCTACCAACGAGCACTAGGGAAGCCAGGAGCACGCTAGCAAGATCCTCAAGGTAGCTAGCCTGGAAAAGTTTAGGAAACCCGAATTCCGCCAAAAATCGCGGCTGTGCTCGCCGAAACAAACAAGATTCTATGAAAATTACAAGCTTACTCAAAAATCTCTGCTAGCTTGCCAAATCTGGGGACCAAACGCAAAAAGTCAAAAAATTTGGAACGCTTCACGAATTTGCGTGTCATCCTTGCGCAGGGGCCATGCTAATCTTCTCTGTATTGTTCCAATTTTAGTATATGTTCATAGGAATGAACGAGGGGTAGGGGAGGGACCCTCCTTATATACCCCCCGCAGATGGGTGGGCCAGTGGTCGCGCGTTTCGGGGGGCACGAGGGGACAGGTGGCCAGAGAAGGGTAAGTCTCTAAAAAGACACTTCCAGGGTGTACGGCTACCTCAATTTAGGGGCAAGCTAGCAGAGGATATTCGGGAACCACCGGGCACGATAGCAGAGAATATTCAGGAATCTTTGAGCCAATTCATGAGGCAGGCTAGCAGAGATTCTTTGAGGAATTGGAGGGGATGGAGGGGGCAGGCTAGCAGAGATTCTTTGAGGAATTGGAGGGGATGGAGGGGGCAGGCTAACAGAGATTCTTTGAGGAATTGGAGGGGATCGAGGGGGCAGGCTAGCAGAGATTCTTTGTGGAATTGGAGGGGATGGAGGGGGCAGGCTAGCAGAGATTCTTTGAGGAATTGGAGGGGATGGAGGGGGCAGGCTAGCAGAGATTCTTTGTGGAATTGGAGGGGATGGAGGGGGCAGGCTAGCAGAGATTCTTTGAGGAATTGGAGGGGATGGAGGCGCAGGCTAGCAGAGATTCATAATATCGCAATTTTTTAGAGAAAACCACCGCTAAGGGTGTGACTATCACCGTATCCCCGAAACAAAATGGCGGCTCTAGCAACGGTATGAACACGATATTTAATTTATAAGTCCGATTTTAGACAACTCTACCGTAATCACCACTACAGAATCCTCAGACTACGATTATATCGCCGTTACCGACAAATATGGCAATGTGACGTATGAGAAGGTCCCGAAGAAGCAGTCCTCTACCGTACGGCCTGGTAGTGGGAGTACGGTAGCTACAGAAGGTGAGGATTTCTAGCCAAGGATTGGCCTTGGCCAAAGCCCTAGAAAAAAAAGACATAAAAAAGCCCAAGTCCTTTAGAAAGCGGCTCGACCACCGATGCGTATACTGACTACGATTACGTGGCCGTCACCGATGAATACGGGAATACTACTTACGAATGGATACCAAAAACTACGGGGACGACTACAGTACCTAACACCAACTCATCCACTACTGTAACCAGCACAAAATCCACCACCGTAGCTAGCAACTTTTCTACTACGGTATCGTCTACCGTATCCGCTACGTCTACCGTAACTGGAAACCGGACTACGGTATCCACGAATACGGCCAAAACGACGACCACAGCTCCAGGTTTGCAAAAAAACTACTTTTGGTTACGGTAATTTGGGCAATTTTTAGCCACTTGCACGACGGCAGCGATCAATACACAAAATGCATTTGCTCTGCTAGACAAGGATGTAATGGCTGGTAAGGTTTATTTCTATTTCCTAAATGTTCTCTGCTAGCTTACCCTCAAAAAAATCCGAAGCGGTCTATGCTGGCTTGCCTCACTATTCTTAAAGGATCTCTGCTAGCTCGCCATCCTTTCCTATCTGCTCTCTGCTGGCTGCCCTATAAGTTTTTGTCGAAAACATGAGGTTTCCGCCTTTGGAATCCTCAAAATCGTCGCTGCTGTTTTGCGTAATAGCCTCTGCTAGCCTGCCCCCTCGATCCCCTCCAATTCCTCAAAGAATCTCTGCTAGCCTGCCCCCTCCATCCCCTCCAATTCCTCAAAGAATCTCTGCTGGCCTGCCCCCGTCCATCCCCTCCAATTCCTCAAAGAATCTCTGCTAGCCTGCCCCCTCCATCCCCTCAATTCCTCAAAGAATCTCTGCTAGCCTGCCCCCGTCCATCCCCTCCAATTCCTCAAAGAATCTCTGCTAGCCTGCCCCCTCCATCCCCTCCAATTCCTCAAAGAATCTCTGCTAGCCTGCCCCCGTCCATCCCCTCCAATTCCTCAAAGAATCTCTGCTAGCCTGCCCCTCCATCCCCTCAATTCCTCAAAGAATCTCTGCTAGCCTGCCCCCGTCCATCCCCTCCAATTCCTCAAAGAATCTCTGCTAGCCTGCCCCCTCCATCCCCTCCAATTCCTCAAAGAATCTCTGCTAGCCTGCCCCTCCATCCTTCCAATTCCGGACAGAATCTCTGCTAGCCTTCACCTTCTGTAGATACGGTACTCTCATCGCCTGGTCGTACGGTAGAGGACTGTTTTTTCGGAACCTTCTCATATGTCACATTGCCATATTTGTCGGTGACGGCAATATAATCATAGTCTGAGGATTCCGTAGTGGTGATTACGGTAGAGTTGTCTAAAATCACCCTTTTAAATTAAAATATGGTGTTCATACCGTTGCTAGTGCCGCCATTTTGTTTCGGGCATACGTTAGTCGCGCCCTTAGCGGCGGTTTTGTCTAAAAAAATTGTGATCCTCAAGAATTTATGCAAGCCTGCCCATCCATCCCCTTCCATTCCTCAGTATCTTTGCTGCTTGCCCCCTCCATCCTTCCAATTCCACAAGAATCTCTGCCAGCCTGTCTTAGAAACTCCTTAAAAAAGCTCCTCAATAATCTCTACGAGCGTGCCCGGTAATTCCTCAACATCCTCTGCTGGCTTGCCCCAAAATTGAGGTAGTCCTACACCCTCGAAGCGTCTTTATTAGAGTTTGACCCTCCTTTGGCCACCTACACTCTCTATGACCCCGAAACGCGCGCCACCTGGCCCACCCATCTGCGGGGGGTATATAAGGAGGGTCCCTCCCCTACCCCTCGTTCATTCCTATGAACATATACTAAAATTGGAACAATACAGAGAAGATTAGCATGGCCCCTGCGCAAGGATGACACGCAAATTCGTGAAGCGTTCCAAATTTTTTGACTTTTTGGATTTCAGGTTAAATGGGGCAGGCTGGGAGGAGGCTTCTACTATTCAAGAAAATATTTTTGGTCGAAGGTTGAGGCAAGCTAGCAGTCATTTTTGAAGAATCTACAACTTTTAGAGTGCTTAGATCCAAATTTAGTTCTCTTAAAGCCAAGGCAAGCCAGCAGGGATTCTTTAAAGCAACCTCCGTAGTAAAATTTGCTTCGAAAATTATTGGCCACTATTTTTGTGCCAGAAAACAGACTTTTTTGGTACAAAACCAGCTCTTAGGCTCGAGCACAGCCCTAATCTGCTTGGACGGCTACACCTTCCCGGCTGGCGGCACCTCGAAGACGTTCACATGCTCGTCTACGGGCTCATGGAGCGGATACGATGCTTCTCAACTATGTCAAAATTGTAGGGCATCAATTGTCAAATATTTGATGCTTATTTTAAGCTATCAATCAAAACTCGACGACCAGATGCTCTGACCCATCGGCGGATATCGACATGACAAACACGCTGCTCCCGAAAGCACGCATTAATGGTAAGTTTTAAGGATTTGGGTTTCAAAAGCGATTTTTTTCGTCTATTTTTGAGTTAACCGTTTTTTAGAGAGACTAAAAAGTGCAATTATTGACCCTTACATTGACTAGGTGTAGATAAATCTATGAGCCTTCAAAAGACGCGTCCAGCGCTAGTGATTTTTGCTCAACAATTAAGCTATAGGGCTATTCAATTACTGTACGAAGGTGTCGTTTGGAATGTCGCGTAGCTGTAAAGACCTAGGCGAAAGATGTGGTTGATTCTGGCGCGTCCTGGTCCCTTAAAAACCGTGTTTTAGGCACCCAGCCGGTTGGCACGATGATTGTGCATAGTTGCAAGCAGCAGTACGTCTTTGGGTCGATCGGGCAACCGTTGCAGGTATCTCACTCAAACTCTGTCTCTCTCTCTCTCTCTCTCTCTCTCTCTCTCTCTCTCTATTTCTCTCTATCTCTCGCTTTTTAGATCTACCAATGCCTCTCCACCGGTGTTTGGACCAACAATTTACAAGGAGAAGCCTGTGTCGGTAAGTAGTATTTTCCTGTCTTTTTTTTGATTATTTTACTTATTTTCTTGTATTTTTCGCGTCAACAGATTCATAGAATGATTTTAATTAATTGTTTTTAGCAGCCGGAAGAGCTTCAGCTGAACTATAAAGCCTCTTTTTTAATTTGATCCGCTTTGGGTTTGGTTTCTTTTGGGGAATAAATTGTTAAAATACGATAACACAAGAAAAACACAATCAACTTTGTAAAAAATTAGATTTCATAGCGCAAGATACATTGCTATAACTAAGGGACATTCAAAATACTAAAAAAGAAATGACCGAGTACGAATCACTCCACGTTCCGCAACCACGTCACTCCGGGTGTGTTGCGTAACGCGTCGCGGTGGCGTCCTGTATCGCGAAGACCGTGCGAATTTTGATCAATTTAAATGTAATAAATTAGCTAGAAAATATTTTATTGACCTTGTTTCCCGAAAATATGGCACTGTGCGTTGGTGAGATGAGATCAGAATCGAATTGGTAGGTGGGGGCTGACTAGTTTTGAAGAAATTCTCGAGAAAATATAAATTTTGCCACAAAGACGACGAAGAGAGAGAGAGAGAGAGAGAGAGAGAGAGAGCAAACGAGAGAAAAGGAGAGAGCAAGAGAGAGGGGAGCACGAGCAAAAAAACAACAGGAAATTCTACACATTTAATCCACTTTCTTGGCCATAACATGAACTGGCAGTTGGCCGGCAAAACCCAGCCCGATCACTGCAGCCGCAGATACTGCGGCATAGATGAACAAGGGTGTAATCTGGAAATTAACGGAATTTTCGTAATCATCGAAATCTGTAAAAAATGGTTTTTGCGCCAATCCTTACCTGCATCAAAAAGCCGTAATACGCGATGGCGAGCAGCCGAGCGCAGTCGAACAGGATGCAGAACGGTCTGAAAAAATAGAGCTAGAACCTGATTAAACGGATATTCTATGGACTCATTGACCCATGGCAGATTTGCCTTCGATGGCCCTTTAAAATACCCACCGATGATCAAAGTAATATCCAAAAGCCTGGGCGGAAGCGAGAAGATAAGCCATATGCATGGCGAATGGTGTCCACGGCATAGAAAGACGGACGTCGTTGAATTGGATTGCTGAAAATCCCGCAAATAATCCCATGCCCTTCCATTCCCAAATGACCTCTGCTAGCCTGCCCCTTCCATTCCCAAATGATCTCTGCTAGCCTGCCCCTTCCATTCCCAAATGATCTCTGCTAGCCTGCCCCTTCCATTCCCAAATGATCTCTGCTAGCCTGCCCCTTCCATTCCCAAATGATCTCTGCTAGCCTGCCCCTTCCATTCCTAAATGATCTCTGCTAGCCTGCCCCTTCCATTCCTAAATGATCTCTGCTAGCCTGCCCCTTCCATTCCCAAATGATCTCTGCTAGCCTGCCCCTTCCATTCCCAAATGATCTCTGCTAGCCTGCCCCTTCCATTCCCAAATGATCTCTGCTAGCCTGCCCCTTCCATTCCCAAATGATCTCTGCTAGCCTGCCCCTTCCATTCCCAAATGATCTCTGCTAGCCTGCCCCTTCCATTCCCAGATGATCTCTGCTAGCCTGCCCCTTCCATTCCCAAATGATCTCTGCTAGCCTGCCCCTTCCATTCCCAAATGATCTCTGCTAGCCTGCCCCTTCCATTCCCAAATGACTCTGCTAGCCTGCCCCTTCCATTCCCAAATGATCTCTGCTAGCCTGCCCCTTCCATTCCCAAATGATCTCTGCTAGCTCGCCTAAAGCTTTTCCAAAGCAATCCCTGCTAGCGTGCCTTTTACCTTTTACCTTTGCCTTCAATTTCGCCAGTTTTTCAAGTTTTTAAAACTTTTCGCCCACCTTCCACGACCAAAGCGATGAACTGGAAGGCCAAGTAGATCTTCAACGGCGTCGACAGGGTCGGATTATAGGCCGGGGGTCGGCATTTGATCTCGGGAATTCCCTCCTCGTTGTCGACGTTGCACTTCCAGAAGAAGAACCATTTGGTCTGCACTCCGGGGAAATAGCCGGGTGGTTGGAAAACCACTTTTAGCTGAAAAAATGATACTTTTAAGGTGGTCAATGGGTATGAAGGGGCTGGTAAGTCAAAAATTCTGGGTTTTCATGGGTTTTAAGGGTATTAGCAAGTGTCTGACGACCGCTAGATGATGCATTAATAGCTTAGAACACCATGAAAATCCAATTAATGCTAAATATACCTTATTCCAAAGCCCTGGGAACAGCTCCTTGCCATTGGCATCTTTCATCTGGCCCTTGTCGTAGCCGATCTCCTTGAATTCGAAGGTCTGAAAAGGGCAGTTAGAAGGCGGCGTCGGCCTCGGTTGAGACTTGGACTTAGGTAGGCTTAGCTTAGGCTTAACCTAGACTTAGCTTATGCTTAGCTTCGGCTTAGCTTAGGCTGAGGCTTATGCTTAGCTTAGGCTTAGCTTAGGCTTAGCTTAGGCTTAGCTTAGGCTTAGCTTAGGCTTAGCTTAGGCTGAGGCTTATGCTTAGCTTAGGCTTAGCTTAGGCTTAGCTTAGGCTTAGCTAGGCTTAGCTAGGCTTAGCTTAGGCTTAGCTTAGGCTTAGCTTAGGCTTAGCTTAGGCTTAGGCTCAGGCTTTGGATCGGAGAGACTTACTTGACAGTACAACTGATCGAACGTGTTGACGTTGGTGACAAGGCCGTAGGCGATCTCCTCCTCCGTCTTTTCCTCAGCGTAAGTGCCGAACATACGGTCCCAAATGATCAGCGTCGCGCCGTAGTTTCTGAAAAGTACGGCATAGAACGCGAGAGAGCGAGTTAGAGAGCGAGAGAGAGTGAGAGAGAGAGAGAAAGAGTGAGAGAAGCATAGTAACCGACCTGTCAATACAGTACGGATTCCTCCCATGGTGGACACGATGCGCGGACGGCGTGTTCAGCACCCACTCGAGCGGGCCGAGCTTGGGGATCGTCTGGAAAAAAGCGGTTGGCGAGAGTGAGAGTGAGAGAGAGAGAGAGAGAGAGATAGCGATAGAGAAAGAGGTACCTCGGTATGGAGCCAGAATTGGTATGCCACATTCAGATATCGGTGGATGATGAAGATGTTCGGCGGGATGAAGAATGTTTGAAGGAGGTCGAAGCCAAAGGTGCCGAAATCCTAAAAAAGCTTTTTTGGCTACCGTACCCTATCTAAATTCTAAAATTTTGTCATGGAACTTTTTTAAAGCAAGTGGGAAACGCCAAATAGACCCTTTCCATTGACTGGGTCACGACAGCTACGCGACATTCCAATTGACGTGTGAAAGCCCATTTACGGTGGTATTTGGAGTATCGCATGACTGTCGAGGCCTAGTCTATGTAAGGGGTCGATTTTCGGGCTCCCTAGTGCCATGAAAAGCTATTTTTCAGTTTCTGACACATTCTGCCCAACCTCTGTGACCTTATCAAATTCCTGTCATACTTTCGCTACAACTCGACTCTAGGCAAATTTCGAAAATCATCCCTTATCACCATTACGCGGCATTCCGCACCTATACTCTAGGGGGGCTGCTGACCGGCTGATCATTTGCCCCCCCGCGTGCTATTTGGTGTCCTACGGTTCTTCATGGGACGTTATCGGCACTGTTTGCAGCCACTGGAGGGGGAACCCCCTACAGCGGCTGATAGCACATGACGGCCGGATGAACTTTGAGATGCCGATGAGCAGTCAGAATCCAGTATAGTTTTGCGGAATCGGGTTGGATTGTAGAGTTTTAAAGAGGTTTAAATTGAAGATGGTTTTCATCGGAATACTAACTGAACGCGTCAGAGCGCGACACCTTTTTACGCTCACTCTGATTCTCACTCTCACTGTCGCTCTCAATGTCTGTCTCACTCGCTCTCTCTTTCACTCTCACACTCTCTCGCTCTCTCTCTCTCCCTCTCTCTCTCTGTCTCTCTCTATTTCCGGTAAGTTCTGACTGACCTGCCACATGCCCTGCCTCAGCGCCGTCGACAAGTTGTAGTATTCGGAGGAGTGGTGCATCTGGTGATACGACCAAAAGACGCCAAACTCTGAAACGATTGTCTGCTTCTCTTTCCTCCGCTCTATCTCTCTCTGTCTCTCTTTGTTTCTCTCTATCTCTTTCCCGCTCTATCTCTCTCTCTCTCTCTCTCTCTCTCTCTCTTACCATGAATCGCTCTATGCGCAAGGTAATATGCCAAATCTTGAGTGAAGAAGCATAGAATCCATGTAGACGTGGCATGGGGATCGAGGTCGATAATCCGGAAATGAGAAAAGCACCAGGGGTAGAGAGCAGCAGACATGTAACGGCCACCGTACCTGAAGGAGAATTTCGTTGAGGAGTGCAAGCAGAAATTCTTTAGGAAACCGGCTAGCTAGCATGGATCATTGGAGATTAAGTGATCCAGCTAAGCTAGCAGAGATAGCCAGTCTGCTTACAATCTCCTGTTAGGAGATATCTGTTAGGCTTAGGCTTCAGGCGCTTGCAGTGCTTTCCATTAGGCTTCGGAAAAGCTTCCTAATCGAGGCGGGCTAGCAGAGATTATTTCAAAATTTTTGGACCATGCGGTAGCTAGCAGCGATCTTTGCGGAAAGCTGAGCGTAGGTAACTAGCACAGGCCATTTCGGAATCAACGACACGCTCAAAAATCAACCCACTTCATGACAAACGACAGAATACCCGCATTAATAGAAGTTATCGTGTCGTTGAAAGCGTATTTTCGCTCGTCCAGGAAGTAGAACTCGATGACGACGAGAAGTAGCATCCACAGGTTTGCCTGGAAAAATTGAGAAATTGGTGTTGGCAATTATTACGGCAGTTATATTCGCTAAATTACGTTGAGTAATCTTACATTATCGAGGAAATGCGGGACTTCCTCCATCGTTTTGTAGTGCAACGTCTCATTTGGCGTGATCAGGTAGAAAATTGGACGTAGGTTTGTTGGATGCAAGTCGTGAATTAGCCGCTCCCAGATCCCCATCTTGAAGCTAGAATTAATTGGTTTATGTGGGGGCAAACTAGCACAGTTTCCGAAGGAAACGAAGATTTAGGACAAGCTAGCAGAGATTCTTTGAGGAATTGGAGGGGATGGATGGGGCAGGCTCGCAGAGATTCTTTGAGGAATTGGAGGGGATGGATGGGGCAGGCTAGCA